TAATCTATTTCTTCAAGTATTTCATATGAAATGTATATTAATCTATATTTGTCCAAAGGAAATTGCTAATTAGAAACACATTATGCAATGCACGTGCTCTCCATCTGTGTCTCTATATATATGGTAACTGACTCTAGTATGTTCAACGTATTTCTGCATCTTTTATACATTATATTTTATCATAAACACAAATCTTTGTCACGTAACGTCACGAGTCAAAGTTCTTGAAAGATTTATGGATTCAAGGAAATCCCATATTTGATTTGGAAAAAGACGATCCCCAGTGTTCTCTTGTTGTGCTCGTGAAAACTTTTAAAGTACGAAAACGATTCTAGGTGCTTCTTCTCAATCTTATTGTTGCTTTCAAATCATCATGTATAAGGTATAAAACTTTTAAGCCAACTTCAATTTTCTCATCTAATGCTTTTAAGTTTTAGATTTATCCAACTATAACTTTCATTAATGTAACCTAATTTTCAAATGACTTTCTCATAGGTACCCCAATTTGATTTGGGAACGAAGATCCCCAGTTTCTGTAATTGTGCTCATGAGGGGTTTTCACGATATGGAGATGATTTGAGGCACATCTTGTTAATATTATCGTTGCTATTAAATGTGTTGACCTCAGAAAATGAACTCAACATATGCCGGGCACACTCGTGCACACGTAAGCCATATCAAGCACGTTAAGACAGATCTATGGTCGAGATTGCTCCAAAAATTGGACGTTGGAGAAGAAGCTCAACGACACGAGACCTTTTCGTTGGGATTCCGACAGGATTTGCAGAACAAGATTGTATAATGAACAATCGATAAGAACAAGATTTGTAGTTGTAATAAACTTGATCAGAGAATGAAAATATTTTGAGTATTTAGAATTTCATTAGTCTTCAATGGAATGGTGACCCTTGGATCAATCTACACGTGGCTTCATCTCCTAGGCCAAAACATCAAGTTGACATTTCTAACTTTTCAAAGCATTTAATGTTCTTACATTGACGAGACATGATACAAATACATTTTTTATAAAGGTTACATCAATCATTCAAATAAAGATCTTCATCATGAGCAAATCCTTGCACATGAGTCATCGCGAATTGAGAGGCCTCGGAACGGGGAAGTGCCTAAAGAGTGATTGGGCTTATGCTGACATTAGGGCCTCAAAAATGGGGCCTTGACTCCACAGCTTAACTTTGATGGCCATGTGGCAGTCTCCAGTGACAAGTCATAACAAAATGTAATGCAAAAATTTAGAGCGTGTTTGGAAGTAATTTTTGTGGGATTTTAATCAAAATTATAGTCGTTATAGTCAACTTGTG